CTGAACAAAATGGATCCTCAGGGTGTGGGCTCTGTCAGGCCCTTTCCAGCCCCGCTCTTTCCTTACTACATGGCCCTTCCTTACTTCATGCCCCCTTCTCAGCCCTTCTGGCTCTCTGCATCACACCAATCAACCCGCTGCCCCTGCTCGGTTCATTTTGCCCTGCCTCACCCTTTCCTCCCCCGTTAGCCTTTAGGCTAAAAGAATAAACAACCCCTGAAAGAACAGCAGGGAAAGGGAGTATCTTTTGCAACTGTTCCACGCATCCTGCCCCTGCAACCTTCTTGGATTTTTTTGTGGGGAAGAGGCTAATCACCTAATTCTTTTTTTTTTTTTTTAAGCCACATTATTGTCATCAAAAGATTTGCCTTTACCCAGTTGCGTCTTGTTAGAAATGTGGTGTGAAACTTACCATGCAGCTTTAGAAAAAGGGCTGAGGGTCAGGGCTGTCCAAACAGCTTTTATCGTGGCTCCTTCAAAAGGGCAGCATGCCCTTCAGAGATATCTGTGTGCCACCCCCAACCCTGTCCAAACCATGATGGGACAGGAGCACTTTCTCTACTCTGACTGAACGCTGGAATCACCCAGGGAGCTTAAAAAAAAACAAACCTATTGACGCCAGGGCCCCACCTCAGACTAATTCCATCAGAACCTTTCAGGGTGGGTCCTGGGAAGAGGCATTTGTGATGGCCGCCCATCAACCTTCACAGCCCACAAGAATGCCCTGGGGTCCGGTGACAATGCAGCCCTTGATCCAATAGGCCAGAGTCCCCAGGAGCTGCGGTGCTGCGGGTGCTCCTGGTCCAAGGACCACACTTAGAGCAGGGAGGCCACGGACTATCAGGAAGGCAGAGGGCCGGGTGGGGGTGCCGTGCCCACCGCCAGTGTGCTAACTGGATGGAAGGACCAGAAGGTTCCAACAACAGTGCTGTCTTCCTGGGAAGGCAGGGTGCCACAAATCACTTCAAGGGAATCCCTGAAGTCAAGAAGTCTCCCTCACAATTTTCCCTCCGTAGGCCTGTGCCGTGAATGGTGTGTCGGGCCTCTCCACGGACTCTCCCTGGTGCAAACTCACACCCAGGGTTTAGCAATCTCTTGGCGCCAAGACCCTTCTGTTCTCGGGGTGACGTCCTGCAGAGTTGAGTGCCAAGGCATAACCAGGCTGAAGAGAGAGAAGGCCACAGTGTCTCAGCCTGCCTTCCTGGAGTCTGCCCCCTCATCTGTGTTGGTGACCGAGTCACTGACTCTTGTTGCTCGGGCACTGGAGTCGTCCTGTCGTGAGCTGGTCCTTTTCGGCGCATTCGCCCATCCTGGACACACCAGTGCCGGCCCCCTTGCGGGAGCAAGAGTAGCTGCTGCCCTGTGAGTCCTTGTGGGGGGCACACAGCCAGTCACATCCAGGCGACCACCGGCCACCTCCCGTCCTGAGCCCCGTGTGCCCTTGCCCTGGCTCCTCCTACTTGTTCTTTGGGGAAAAGGCCTTTGGCAGCTGTGGGAGGGAGCAGTCTCCCCAGCGCTTGGCCCACTGGACTCGGAAGGGGGAGGCACGGCCGCCGACTGATCTGCCCGTAACTGGTTAGTCTCCTTCAGAGACCAGACCCTGCCATTGTTCATTTGGGGATTTTTGTTTGTTTTGTTGTGTTTTGTTTTTTTTTAAGATTTTATTTATTTATTTGAGAGAGAGCATGAGTGTGGTAAAGGGGAGGAGAGGGAGGGGCAGAGGGAGAGAGAGAAGCAGACCCCCCCTTTGAGCAGGGAGCCCGACCCGGGGCTCGATCCCAGGACCCCGGGATCATGACTTGAGCTGAAGGCAGACGCTTAACTGACTGAGCCACCCAGGCGCCCCGGGCATTGTTCATTTTGTACAAAGGAAATACTTCTCCAGAAACGGCCCTCCTCTTTTATTTTTCCTCCAAGGCTCTTTTCCTAAAAGCTTCCTTTAGCTGCAGAAAGCTCCTCTGTTAAGAGAAAGTGAAGTGTTCTCTCGGAGAGAGGACAGTGCTCCTCTCCAGCAGGTGGAGTCCTTCCTGGCCCTCTGGTCCCCTCCCTCAGCCCTATTAATCCAGAGCAAGGGCGGTGCGAGCCACCGCGCTGCCTTTTCTGGTCCCTGTCAAACCTAAACCGTCAGCATCTTCTCCTGGAAATGGGGGTCTTGGCACTTTGGGGCATAAATGTTTTGGTTTAAGAAGCACCAATGGCAGGAGCATAGATTCAAAGATGAAGGTAAGTCTGTCTCCTCACCACTGGCCTGCCCCTGTGGGCTGGGGCCACGCAGAATCAGGTGATGGCCACAAACATAAATTGTTGGCAAACAAGGAATCAGGTGGTGGGCTTAAGGCGCTGGCATGGATGCTGTGTGGGCTCCCTCCTTCACTTCGCTGTAGGCCGGTGGGGCTGCGGAGCTCGTAGGCCATCTAATCTGGGAATGGGTAGGAAACTGAAGGGTAGAAAACAGCGGTGTCCTCAAGCAGACTGGGCCAGACCAGACGGGCACACAGGCCAAACGTGTCTGGTGATTCCGAGGCATGGCAGGGCCACACACGGTCAACCGTCCGCCCTCAGGCCTGGTGAGGGAGCCGTGGCAAGAATCACTGAGGACGGCAAGAGGTCTAGACGCCCGTTGTGCAAGCTTTGGGCTACACATTAAGTTCTTCCCTAACAATGTCGCCCTTGGGCCAGTCCCACTGGAAGAAACAAGTCCCACAGAGGCCGCGCTCCCGATGCCGTCAGAGCCCAGTGGGGGCCACAGGGCACAGCGCTTTACCTCCCCACCATGTGTGGCAATGCGCACCTCATCTGCTATATTTTCTCTTCATTTAAACTTTTTCTTTAACCTTTAAAAGCACAGATCCCAACTCAGGTTCCCAGAGGAACCTCCAATTCCTGGAGTTCATAGACCTTTGGAAGCACCCAAACCCTTTCCTTTGTCAGCGCTGCCCGAACTCCGAGCCGTCCGGGTCCTGTGCTCGTCTGTGGGGCTGGCCCACGACCCCGCCTTGACTCGATCCCACCCCACAGGTCCTGTCCATCCCATGAGGCCGCAGACTGTGTGGCCGAGTCCAGGCCCTTCCCCAGTGCTCCACGTTGGATTCCCTTCTATTTCTATGCTAGACGTCACAAGTCAGCTTAGGACTTGGCGTGGTGCCTGGCACGTCAACGGCAGCGAGTTGACGTGCATGGGGTTTGCTGGCTTGGACCGCAGGGCGTGGGGTGCAGGGAGCGAGGCTGGTCTTCAAGGCAGGGAGCTCCCATCCTTGCCTGAAGCATGGAGAGCTGACCGTGTAGATCTCAGAGTGGCTTGATGCACCTGTGTTCCTTCAGGAGCAAAGCACTTTTTTCTTCTCTGCCTGATCCCTGGCCTGATCTCCCTGTCTGAGAGACAGTGGTGTGAGGTGACATCCTGTTTGTACAGCCCGAGGACACAGGACATTTTATAGCTCTGAGTGCCAAGGGGGTTGGTGGGGGGGCATACAGCAATGTCTCCGCAGAGAGCCTCAGTGGCCGCCGTGTGTGGTCATCCACAGGAAAGTGGAGGCCCCCACTTACACTCATACGGAGAGAGAGTAAGCAAGGCCAGTGGCATGAGAGGAAAGCGCAGTCTCGCCCAGACCCTTGCCCCCATTCAGAAATGGCTGGGCCCCGTTTCCTTGTCTGTTCAATGAGGATGAACCCCCACCTCACGGCATCTGTGTCAAGATAAAAAGACCGGGCACCTACAGCTGTATGCAACACACCAAAGATTGTCACTTGGTAGATGTTAGTGCCCTCGCCCCCTCCGAGGGTACCGAGGGGACATCACCTCTCAGCTCTGTGATGTGCGCCTTCCACACAGACCGAGAATTCACCACTCACCATCTTCCATGCGATTCTAATTTCAGCGTGTCACAGCTCACTCGTAAAATAGCATTTCTCACCCCTGAGTGTCTGTGCACAGTGCAGAAACGAGAACAGCCCCCCTCTGCAGGCAAAAGTGTGAGATCCAGGCTCACACTGTTCCTGGGCAAACACCAGATCCTGCTGGAGAGATGGGGTGGGGAGGCGAGGCTTGTTCCTGCATTGGGCTCAAGTTCAAGGAGCATGGATTAAGCACCTACTGTGTGCCAGCTTACACAGTGGCCCTCAGGGGGAGTGCCAAAGTCCCCACTGGCAGCTAAGGAAACAGAGGCTCCACTATGTTCAGATCTTGTGCCCAAGTGCTCACGATTGCACAGCCAGGGATCAGATCAGGTCTCTTTCCCTCTGCCACACATCTCCTGATCAGACTGGTGACTATTTCTGTTTCCCTCCAAGAGAAACCAAGGCAATCCACAGATTCTTTCCGATCAAAGCAGGCTCCTCTGGGTTCTTCCGAGCTCCCCCACTTCACAAGTGATCTGGGTGATTCTGTTCCTGCTGTGTATTTTTTTTTTTTTAAGATTTTATTTATTTATTTGACAGAGAGAGACACAGCGAGAGAGGGAACACAAGCAGGGGAAGTGGGAGAGGGAGAAGCAGGCTTCCCGCTGAGGAGGGAGCCCGATGTGGGACTCGATCCCAGGAACCTGGGATCATGACCTGAGCCGAAGGCAGACGCTTAACGACTGAGCCACCCAGGTGCCCCCCTGCTGTGTATTTTTAGGAACCCCAGAGAAGTGACTTGTGCCTAAGAACTCAGCTGGGCAGCTCCTGCAGAGAATTCCAAACCACAAGCGATGAGGGACTGCAGGGAGGGCAGCCACACAGGATCCGGAGCAGGCAAAAAATAGACATGGCATTCCTGCCGTCAGCCACGGCGGCCCACCTCCCGCCCGGCTCACCCACAGCACAGATCCGAGCCAGACTAAGTAGAGGCTGTCTGAATCAGAGCAGGGGGAGTCCCGGGCTGTTCAGCCTTGGGAAGCGAACCTGGCTGATGTTCAGCTTGGGCGTCACTTTCCTTAATTTATTGTAAACTGTCCCGTGGGCAGAGCTGGACGTGGATGCCACCGAACTCACACCCCCTGTTTTCCCCTCCCCACTAGGTCTTTGCTGCGAAAGTTCTCAACCTTGTCCTGCCAAACATGTCCCTGGGCCCAATTGACTCCAGCATGCTCTCTCGGAATAAGACGGAGGTGAGTCTTTCTGAAAACCTGGGGGGACCAGCCCCGGTGGGAAACTGAGTGGTAGTTCCATCCATGGCTGTCTCCCACCCTTTCACTGAGGCCCTGCGTGAAGTGATGGGGACATGAAGATGCATGAGGTGCTGTGTGGCTTCAGGATTGGGCAGGAAGGGACAGGTGGTTATGATGCCCCAGCTGTACCCCGAACATGCAAAGGAGCAAATCAGATGAAATTGTGTGAATCAGCCAGGTCTCTTGTGGCTGCAAGTGACAGAAACCCCACTCAAAGTGAGTCAAGCAAAAAGAGGTATTTATTGGTGGATGGAACTAAAGGCTTCAGGCATGGCTGGATCCAGGGGCTCAAAAGTCTTGTTCACCATCTGTCTCTCCCCAGCTCTCATATCCCCTGGTTTGGCTTCATTCCTAGGCAACCTTTCCCAAAGTGGAAGCAAGGATGGCAACCAGCAGCTTTACCTAAGCAACCCCAGCAGAAAGACAGTTTGTTGAAAAGCCAACAAATGTCTCAGGGCTGATTCTTATTGGCAGACTGTCTGGGCCTGACTTATTGTTCAGGAAAAGGAGTGGTGTTGACCCCATCCAACCTCATGGGTTCAGCGTATAGAAGGGCAGTTCCTGGGGGGCAAATTGGGATGATGGTAGCAGATTGGATTCAGACCAGGCCAAAAGTCATATGTCTATGGCTTGGGAGGTGGAAGCTGGTGCCAGAGCTGGAGGGGCTTCAGAGGAAGAGGGTTCCCGGCAAAGGTTACTGTGCTGATAAAGACCTGGCACAAAGGGAGGATAGCCCATTTGCGGAACAGTCAATAGTTCGGTTCAGCCACAGCAGAGAGGGCAGCAGGTGACTGGCAAGGGGTAAACTGAGGTCAGATCATAAGGCACCTCATGAACCCCTTCTCCTAAGAGCCACTGCCCTGCCAAGAATCCATCACAGCCCCCCAGGCAGAGCTGGGCTACCTTCTCTAAGAACTACACCAGCTGAAAGGAGCTCAGAAAAGGCAAGGTGGCTTTGAGAGAGAGAAGCTGGGAGGTTTTGCTATTTGGTTAATGTCACCACCTCTGGGACCAGGCACCAAGGTCAGCAGGGACAAGAGGTCAAGGTCAACTCATGTGCCTGAGATACTGTGTCTGAGTATAGTCCAAAACCCCAGAGATTTGGATGGGTCTGTTAAGAGACTGCTCAGCGAGCTGGCCCACTTCCCATCTAGCTGACGTCCAGCACCTTGCACTCTGCCTTTGATTGGGGGCCGGACAGGTGCCGGGAGCTCATCCAGCCACACAGGTGAGCTGCAGGGGCTAGCCTGAGAGCTTAGGTGGGTGTGCTCCTCCACCTGCTCTCTGCGGGGGCAGGGAGCCCAGTGGGCTCATGGCCAGTGGACAGGAGGCAACCCTGGGCTTCTGGAAGATACCAGAATTATCTTCAGGATTAAGCAAATCATTTTGCTACTCTTCTGCCTCAGTTTCCCCTCTTGCCTTAGGAGTTGGAAACCATGGAATCATTGGCTCCCCAAGACTCCTGGAAAATGGAGTGGGGTGCTCTGGTATTCCAGTGGCTTTCCTGGGTTTCCTCAGGACCTGAGCACTCAGGTTGTAACTTCATTGTAAAATGAGTCACTTAGAGAGTAGACAACTAAATGGGGATTGGCCTTAATGTGTGGGAAGAAGTCCTGATCAGAGGTCTGACTCCCGGACTGCTGAGGGCCACCTGTTTATAAATGACGCTGGCAAGAGACCCTAGGGGGTGGCGGGGCCTGTAGGGGGCCCCCCCCCGGGATGTCCCATCTGCCTAAGTCATCCACATTCATTTGAAACTTTTAATCCATTTTTAAAATCTACAATACCTCCCAAAGCCACATTTTGGGGCCAAATTTAAACCCCCAGGATCAAAGAATATTTGAGTAAAGAAAAAAAAAATTCATTTCAAAATCCAATCTATACAGTGAAAAGGCACCACTTTAGGACCCAGAAACACTAAAGTCAAACTCGTGCTGTTCGATCTAATCCTGATGTGTGTGAATGAGGTGGACATTGACCCCATTTCACAGATGAGGAGACTGGGACTCAGGGGTTAAGTAGGGGTTTACGTTGTCCAAGGGGCACAACTCCTCAGGGCCAGAGCTGAACCCATCTGATTGAGAAGCCTGCCTGGCTGCCTCCTTCCAGCTACCATGGACAATCACTAAGCTTTTTTTCCTGTCTCACAAGAGCAGGTGCACACAGCCCATGGCTGTGGGCTGTGGCCCGTGTGCGGGGTTCACTTTGTGACGGAGGCTTTTCCACCTGCTGGCATCCCGAATAATGGCTCTGGCTTGAATGTGCGATCTCTAGTAAGACCAATTATCTTTGCCTTAGCTGTGCCAGCACAGCAATGAGGGAGAGAGAGAGAGAGAGCGCGCGCACACTCCCTTTGACAGCTTTGAGATGAAACGTCCAGGTGCAAATTCAAATTGTTTATCTTACACCTGAAGGTACTTGGGCAAAAAGGAAGGGGGAAGAAAAGATAATGAAGTGATTCCAAACCCTCTTTGTTTACAAGGAGCAAATTTCAGAGCTTTTATCTCATTTTTGAGATAATGGAAAATTCCACTGAAGGCCTTACAGAAAACGGGAGTCTGGTGTGAACACAGAGCAAGCAGGCTCTTCCCCTACCCCCCCTCCAGCCCGCACCCCAACCCTGTGCACCCTCATTTCTCGGGTTTCTGAGCGGTCAGGCAAAAGGGGTAATTCTTTAGAAATGCTAATCCATTTCCCTGCTGGGAAGACTCGGAGGGAAGGCTGGACTCCAGTTGGAATAAACAAGGAGCAAGAGTTTCCATCCCTCCGCAGAGAAAATCAGCCCCTCGCTTGTTGCAGCTCTGAGACTCCCTTTGAACATTCTGCCTGAGCCTTAAAAATAGCAACGCCCAGGGGGAAAATGTGTTCAGAAAAGGCACCTCCCCGGATCTAACATCAGGGTGTCTTAAGGCCCATCTTTAGCTAAGATATTTCCCATGGAACCCTGCAGCTATAAAAGCCCCAAAAAGAAAAGAGACATTCGCCTAACAAGCTCACTAAAGCAGGACCCGGTGGAAGGGGCCGCAGGCTCTTGGAAGATCTGGAAGTCTGTCTCTGGGGAAGCAGGCTGGCTCTGTCGTCCGAATGTTAAAAGCCCGACCTGCGTTTGGGCTTTAGTGTGGCAAGTGTTCTCACGACCCAGCCAGACGTCATGGCCACCAGCCCACGGAGGCCCGTCCTCCCAGCGCGTGCGAAGCCTCCAGGAATACAGGCCGAGATGCCTCACGTTGTCCCGACACCAGCCAGGGCACCACTGTCGTACCCTTCTCCCGAGTCACACACCCTAGCCCTTGTGTCCCGCCACAGCTCCCGGAAGTCAGTCTTACTACCAGTATTTGCATTTGTGGAGCGTGGGCCCAGAGAGGGCAAGTCACTTACCCAAGGATACGCAGCTACTAAGTAAGGATTTGAGCCCAGATCTCTCTACTCTGAGCCAAGTGCCCTTGGCATTAAAATCCTGAGAACAAAGAAGTTGCCACTCGGGCATTTTTTATGTTTGTCTACACATTTAGCATCCTTGGCCAGAACATTAGAGTGCTGACGTATTCACCATTCCACCCTCAACCGTGGGGTTTTCACAACGTGATGAATCCCTCCCACTCTGAGAAGCCTTGGATGTTCTAAATAGTTCTCCGGCCAAGGACACTGGGGCAAGAGGCGAAGAGGGGAGGCTGCTGACAATCTCCTCACCCTCAAACCACTGATAAACTACCCAATTCCACACGCACAGAAGGCACCGCTTTCTCTGAGCTCCAGCCTGTGAACTGGGTGCAAACTGGGAGGAAGACAGGGCTGTGATTATGATGAGACCCTCTACGAGGGGCATCTGCTGTGTGTACATTGAGGCAGTTTGTCTTTGGGACCACGTCTCTGTGTTCTATAAATACTCTGGCTGCCCTCCGAGCACATTCTGGCTGCTGGCACTCCTGCCGGTGAGGCCATATGGCAAGATCCAGGCACCCGGATTGCTGTGAGCAGTGGCCAGCTCTCTTCCTTTCCTTCCTCCAGGGGGGCGCCGCCCTAGACCCCCGCCCAGCGTTTCAGAGGTGCCCCGCGCTGAGGATGAGGCTCGCCTGCCCCTCTTGCCCACATGGCTCCCAGCCCTGCTGTGGGGAGGCCGTATCTGCCCATGGCCCTCGGAAGGCTCCTGCCAGGTCTTGGAAAGCTCGGCCATCACTGAGGCTTTTGACTAATTGTCACCACAGCTAAAGATAGGCCTCAGCCTCCCACTCTGTCCCCAGGACACAGCCTCCCACAGAAATCCCCTCTGAGAACCGGTTATTAACTTTCCAGTATGCCCGGTTTGGTTAGCTGGTTTTATTTTGTGACTCTCCATAATTCCTAGCTTACATTCCCTACAGAGGACTTGTCTATTTGAAGCAGCTAATAATTTACTAACACCTTAAAAAAAATAAATAACGGGCCGTTAGAATGTCTCTTGGAATGTCTGTCTCCATATGGGAGTGGCCAGCAGGGAGCACAGGAATGGGTCTAACTCGGTCCTGTGCCTTGCATGCGAGGGGTCCGTGGACCCGCCCCCCACCCCATGTTTGCTGCTCACAGCTCTCCTCCCGCCACCAACTCTGAGAGAGGCAGGTTCCTGCAGGCAGCGGACAAGCCAGTAAGTCAGCAGGAGTCCCAGCTGCCAGCCAGACCCACGACCACAAGGTGCTCTCCCTGCCCTGTAGCTTCTCTCCCAAGTACCTTCACGTGATCCAAGAAGAAAGAAGCTGCGCGCTCGGCTGGGTTCACATGGGAATACCACCTGGGCCAAGATCTCTCAAGACACCCTCCATCACCTCGAAGCCACCCGGAAGCTAAGATCTGGACCCCCATTTTCGTGAGGATTGGATGCAGCTGACTTGCTAAGCCTTGGCATAAATGGCCCAGCCAGACACAAGCCCCAAACAGCGGACTCTGCCCACAGGGGTCTCCCTGCCCCAAGCCTACCCAAGGGATGTTTGGCTCCCACTGGCAAACCTGAAAACTGGGAGTGTAGGGAA